CATATTGACGCATGGAAACGTGCGGCCATTCAAATGTGAAGCATGTAGTAGGAATTTCACTCGGAAAGATGATTTGAATAGACATATGAAGGTGCATAAAAGTTCGGATGAAAAGCTATATTCTACAACGAGCTCCTTAAAGATATCGATATCAGATATCATTGACACAGAAATATCAATAAGGGATATAATTACATTCGCAGGACTATAAATAATTGTATTGTGTTAAATTATATTTGTACTGCATTTTGCCATTTGTGCTTTGTGTGTTATTTCCTTATTTAATGTAAAAATTAATTGATGAAATTGTGCGTAAAAATTTGAATAAAATTTTGAGGTAAAATTTTGAAAATTTGAACATTGGCTGTTAAGCATCAAGAAAGCAACGATATTTTTCCGTTTCAATATAATTAAAATTCGTAAAATATAACAATCAATAAATCGATGGATAATTATTAATCACCAATTCATTCGATATTCGTAATAATAATTATCTATTGATTTAAATTACCTGAATGATTTCTTCAATCTAATTTCAATGCATTTTTAATGCTTCTTGAAATTTCTCTACACATATTTGTAGAATTGAGAATTCATTTCCGGTAATTTCGTGTAATTCATTATTTCAGTTGTAACTCTTCTATAATAAGATGATTTCCATATTTTCGTTCATCGATACTTCCAATTTCCCAATACAAACAATAATTGGTTACATCTATTTCATTCCACAGAATTGTACTGATATTTGTTATGTATTTTCGCTGCTGAACTTTGCAATTTTTCGTATTATCAACATCAGTGACTAACCTTCTTCCATCATATAGAAATATGTACGAAATGGGTGCATTAGCATATTTACTGACTACTAGAGAGAGAGAGAGGGAGAGATCTATCACTGACATGATTTATTTCATTATAATATTTGCAGCTGATTGTCTAAATTAATATTTAATATTTTATCAATAATATCATAAATCCAAGTAAAACTTTTAGGCAAGCATCCTTTTACGAAAATTTCAGGATAGTATATTCTGAACCAAACAAATTATATTATATTATAAACAAACCTGATTTCTTTCTCTGACCTAAAAAAGGAAATGTGATTAATAACAGATGAAAATTTCCAGATAAATTTTATTACCTATTCCAAATTTGCATCAATCATTTCATTTTCTTTTAACATTCATTAAAATAGGATAATCAATTTTTGTTTTTATTCACTCATTAAAATTCAAAATATTATTTTATTTTAAAGGAAAAGAAATGAAATGATAAAATTAGAAAGAAAAAGTATTGTTTCAACAATTACGAAATAATTCAATTTATTATCATAAGAATGTGAAGAAAGTTTAATTACAGTTTTGCTGTCACTTTCATAATGATTCATTTTCTATTGCTAAAAATATTATTATTACAAAATTACCTTCTTACTATTAAAAATATTTCTAAGTAAAAAGTAAAAGTAACTTTTGATTTTTTCTTTCGTTTAAATTTTTCGAAATTAATTTTTGCAAAAATTTTTCATTTGAAATTTAACAAAATTCATTTCATCAACGGTTACATCAAAAGAAAATTTTACTTTGGTACTTTCTTAAAATTTTTAACATTCATTTAAATTGTATATAAAGTGAAGCTTCAAGAGAGTACCACAAAAACAAATATATGACAATTATTGAATATTAAGGAATAATGATTTAAGATAATTTAAAATCCAAAAAAGCTTGATATGAAATTGCTAAATCTTAAATGAAAAACAAAGCATTCAGAAAATTTGACATAACAGAAATTTATTCGTTGAAAATATTATTTGCTTAAATAGAAATAAACATCAGTTGAAAGAGGATTTTGCGACAGCTCGATAAGATTAATATAATTTTTATTTACCTATTTAAAGGTTACATTCATCCCAATTGATGTAACCTTACCACTCAGTTGTGCATTTTATTTATATTGGTATAAAATTGACCAATTAATAACAATCTCTGTTTTATTCTGTTTCATTTAAATTTAGCTTGCTAATATATCAACACTTGTGATTACTGATAATTAATCTCAATTAATTAAAGAATCCTGAAAAGTCGTAGAGGTGAAAAGGTGGAAAATGAATCAATAAAAACGATTATAGTACTTTTTTGAAGATTGTACAAAGCAATTTTTAATTATAAGAAACAACAAGAGAAATTATGATACGCTTTCCGGTAGTTAGCCTATCGGATAACCATCGGAGTATCATAATTTCTCCTTTTGTTTTTCGAATAGGTGAAATTTAAAATTTTATAACTAATTTTAATTGGTTTTAATTTTAATTTTATAACTAATTTTAATCACATTTATATGATACTATTATTATTCAGTGTAACTAACAAAAAATTTTACAGAGGAGTGAAAATTATTATGCGACGAGACTGGAGTTTTGTGATTATATTTGGTCATAGATCATACGGCTTACCGGAATGCATAAAAACAGTCTTAGTACGACAAATATCACTTCATTAAATTGGTTGTCTGCAAAAAATATTTCTCGAAAAGAATTCGACTATTTCCACATCCCGTCGTTTCTCGATTATGATTATATCGCTTTATTTGGTAATGCTCGTGTTGCCGCTATACATCGCACAAGTAACGGTATGTGAATAAGATATTGCTTTCATTGTAGAAATTAAATATTCATAAAGTTTTTAATCTCAGCTAAGGACAAAAACAATTGCTTCCTGTGAAGGAAAATTAAATTTTTCATTTATTATCTATTTCCCTGTTACTTCTAATTAGTCGAATTATTCTGCGATCAAACCCTATAGCAATACTCAAAGTCAAAAGCAAAACTTTGCAAATTGAATCACCGAACTATTTTTGTTACATCGATCTGTCAATCCTTCTGTCTCAAATCAACTGTCACAATATAGCACAACTGACAATTTTTTCAGTTTATTATTACAATTCACCGAGCTAATTTAAAATATAGAAGTAAATTTTTGCCATTCAAAGATTCTACAATGATATATGCACTGATTTGCTCAAAATTCACAGGAAAATAACAATCAAATATATAAACAAATCATTTTGAGCAATTTCAGGTATCAAATGAAGGCGATGAGGCAATACAAGCAGACCTGACAAACGATGACAAAATAATTACTGTGGCTAACGACAATAAAACAACAATCGAAAGACAATTCAAATATAAAGTATGCAATAAAGCGTTGAAAAGATCCGACAATCTGAAAAGCCACCATTTGACGCAAGGAAACGAACGACCATTCAAATGCGGCATATGCGATAAAGCTTTCAAACAGCGCTGTTATCTGAAACAACATATGCAAATACATTCGGATCGAAACAAATCAGAATGCAGTGTATGTAAAAAAGAATTCAAACTGCGCCGCTATCTGAAAGAACATATGAAAATACATGCGGAACGAAGCACATCGGAATGTATTGTATGTAAAAAAAAATTCATACAGCGCCGCAGTCTGAAAAAACATATGAAGACACATACGGATATTGAAAGCATACTGAAATGCAACGTATGCGGTAAAGTATTCAAATACTGTTCACGTCTGCTGAGACACAAAGTGATACACGGAAACGAACGATCATTCAAATGTCACGTGTGCAATAAAACATTCAATGACTCCAGCAATCTGAAGAGACACAATTTGACGCATGAGAACGAACGACCATATAAATGTCACATGTGCAGTAAAACATTCAAAGTATTCTGGAATCTGAAGAAACATATATTGACGCATGGAAACGTGCGGCCATTCAAATGTGAAGTATGTGGTAGGAAATTTACTCAGAGAGGTAATTTGAATAGACACATGAAAATACATGAAAGTTCGGGTGAAAAATTGTGTTCTACAATAAGCTCCTTAATGATATCGATGGCAGATGATATCATTGACACAGAAATATTTATAAAGGAAATAATTACACTCGCAGGAATATAAATTATTGTATTGTGTTGGCTTAAATTATATTTGTACTGCTTTGTCTATTATTTTTTAATTGAATGTCAAAGGTGATTGATAGAACTGATATGAAAATTTTTAATTATAATTTGATGAAACTTTATATTACATTCATTTTTTTTTGCATAAATTTACGTAAATTATTTAAATCCACTTCACAAATATTCTCTTTATTATCAATTTTGCCTAATCGACTACTGCAGTCTCTTAGTTACAACCTTTTCACTGCAATTGGTAATGGCTTACTGAAAGCCTTGAAAATCTGTAGGCGTTGAAGATTTATACGAATAATGCTTTAAAATTATAATAGGAAATATTTTGAATGTCAATAATTTCAAAATAGTTACTGTAAATATTCTTCGAATGATTTCATTCTATTCGGCGCTAAAGAGATTTGGTGACAATTCTGAACAATGCTGCCAGTTATAATCACATTTGCATGAAACTATTATTATTCATTGTAACTAAAAAATATTAGAGTGGAGTGAAAATTATTATGCGAAAAGACTGAGGTTTAATGATTACATTTGGTCATAGATCATACGGCTTACCGGAATGCATAAAAACGGCCTTCTCAGTTAATATGACAAATATCACTTCACTAGATTGGTTGTCTGCAAAGAATCTTTTCGAAAAGAATTCAACTATTTCCACATCCCATCGCCTCTCGATCATGTATTTGTCATATTATTTGGTATTGCTTGTTTTGCCATTCTACGTTGCGCAAATAACGGTATGTGAATAAGATATTGCTTCTCAGTATAGAAATTAAATATTCAAAAAGTTTTTTATTAATTTAATTTTCCATTTCTTTTCTATTTTCCTGTCACTTATAAACAATTGATGTTTGTGAACATATTCTATGGTAAAAATCAAAATGAAATGCTACAGTTTGTGCATTGAATCGCTAAATCATTTTTATTACATCGATCGGTCTGTTAATCTTTCTGTCTCAAATCAACTGTCACAATATAGCACAATGACACTTTTTTTCAAATTATTATTACAATTCACTGAGCTATTTTTAAGATAGAGAAGTAACTTATTGCTATTCAAAGATTCTACAATGATATCTCCATAATACCTCGGATTATTACTGTTCAGAAATTACAGGAAAACAATAAGCCAACTATAAACCAATGATTTTGGGTAATTTCAGGTATCAAATGATCAGCGAGTACAAGAAGGAATAGAAAATGAGGGCAAAATAAAGATTATGGCTAATAACAGTGAAGCAAACAAAAAACAGTACCGATGTAAGGTATGCGGTGTGCTATTCGATCTTTCAGCAACTCTAATAAACCATAAGATGATACATAACGATGAAAAAAATTACAAATGTGAGATATGCAATAAAACATTCAAAGACTCCAGCAATCTGAAGAGGCACAAATTAACGCACGGAAACGAACAACCATTCAAATGTCACGTGTGCAGCACAACATTCAAAGACTCGAGCAGTCTGAAGAGACACCAATTGACGCACGGAAACGAACGACCATTCAAATGTCACGTGTGCATTGTAGCATTCAAAGATTCCAGCAGTCTGAAGAGACACAAATTGACGCACGGAAACGAACGACCATTCAAATGTTACGTGTGCAATAAAACATTCAAACGGTCCGGCGATTTGAAAAGACACAAATTGTCGCACGGAAATGAGCGACCATTCAAATGTTACGTGTGCAATAAAACATTCAAACTGTCCGATGTTTTAAAGAAACACAATTTGACGCACGGAAACGAACGACCATATAAATGTCACATGTGCAGTAAAACATTCAAAGTATTCTGGAATCTGAGGAAACATATATTGACGCATGGAAACGTGCGGCCATTCAAATGTGAAGTATGTGGTAGGAAATTCAATCAGAAAGGTAATTTGAATAGACACATGAAAGTGCATAAAAGTTCGGATGAAAAGCTGTATTCCATAGCAAGCTCCTTAATAATATCGATAGCAGATGATATCATTGACACAGAAATATTTATAAAGGAAATACTTACATTCGCAGGACTATAAATTATTGTATCATGTTGGCTTAAGTTATATTTGTACTGTTTCTTTGCCATTTGCTCTTTGCTTGCTATTCCTCGACTGAATGTAAAAAGCGATTGATGAAATTGTGCATAAAATTTTGAAAGATTGAACATTGGCTGTTAGCATCAACAAAGCAACAATATTTTTCCATTTCACTAAAATTAATATTCGGAAAATATATAAATAAATTATACACAGCACTGATAAACATATTAAACAACGTATTAGATTGTGATCGGAAGTTAACGAAATCTTTGAATGATTGTTTGATATTTTTTGATATTAATTCTTATATTATTTAAAAACTTATGATTCGATCAATGAAATAAAGAAAAAATGAATTTATACTATTTCGTTATTAGTAGCATGAATTTTAGATGAAAATTGTGGTTGCTTAATATTTTTTGGAATAATTCGATTACTGAAATAATTCTAAATATAAATAATTATTGTTGAGGGGAAAACAAGCATTAGATAACTTTAAATATTCCAAAATTTATTTATCAACGAGTGAGAGAGTTTAGATTTCGACATCGTTTTAAGTTAATGTATTCAGCAAAATCAATTAATTATTACTAATTACATATTATTATGAATTACATTGGTCATATGCAACTGTAACATGTTGTTATGTTACAATGGAAGAAATTGTATTGTTGGGATAATTTGTAGAAAATTGTTTTCATTCGATATTTGTAACAAAATATTGTTAACAGTTCCTATGAATATTAATTTTTTTCAGAAGTTTATTTGTTTTAGATTCTTCTAATTATTGTTTTTTTT